TTGAGGTAAACTATTGAGTCGTGCCAGGCCAATTATGTTACAATTGCTATATCGCGGTCGACAACAACTATCGGATCGATATATTTTAAAACCAAGCTTTATGTCTTGGTGCACACCAGTCAATCCTCCGCGATGCGTCTATGAATGACTAGCAGCTGTGGAGAGTAACAAAGTCGGCGGCGCATTCTTTAGTCGCAGTACCTAGTGCGGTAGCTTTTCCGAGAGATATCGCAAGTCAAGCACATGGCACCATTTCTAGAAGCGTCTATACAAGGACAAGGGTGATTGCAGTTCGGACAAGAACTGTCAATTTCCTCCATCTTTTCGATTTCAGTGGGTCGTAGCCATTAAGAAATTCTCGGAGTATTGCCAAGTTATGAACAGCTTGAACGCGAGGACGGACTCGACTAGCCCACCACGCCTGAGTACACTGTGTCGAGGAGTGACTCACAGAATCTAGGTAAGTAGATGTGTTATTCGTATGCGTTGTGAGTCTGGTAATCACGACGATCAGTGTCATTATCTCTTGAGTGCGTCAGTTTCGATTCAGGATAATTAGAAATTAGATGATGACGCAAAACTTCTGTCTCCCATGACGAGGTTGTAGGCATCCACGCCTTGGACGTTAAGCACTATCGGACTTATGTCGAGGTACTGTTTCACACCTATATGATGACACTCTTTATCATATAGGTACGCGTATGTTTCTAAGCTCTCGAATGCTTGTAACTGGGCATGCCATATCGAGAAACAGGAGTTAGATAACGGGATCACCTTCAACTCGAAGGGTACGTTATCACAGATAGTCAATAACAACACTAAGAGATACTATCTATAAAACTAAAATGTTTTCTTTCCTACATTCAGAGTTCGTGTGATGCTAAGGCTTTATGTCGCCTCCCCGTGTCATCGGTTTTAGGTATTGTTATCTTAGCAAGCTGAACTCTTATGCTTGCGGAGCATCCATTTCCTCTTGAATAAATGGCAATTCAAGTAGTAACTGGCGCTCTATTGTATATAAGGTATCCTTATATAGTAGGTACCTACCTACCAATAGATATTAGATAGTAACTTAATAGCAAGTGTTCATGCATATCCATATACGCCTACCTCTTTATCCCCTCAACTCGACTGGCTACGGCAAGAGAAACGCATCTGGATTACATGTGAAGCCATTCACTAAATACCCCCCTTGACGATAACTTGACTTCGACGTTTAAGCCTGTTTAGTTGGCGATTTGCACGGTCTCGAGATACTTTCCTTGGGTACGTATACTAACAAAATATGCTGTTAAAGGTCGAGTTGCCTATTTACCTTGCATGTCTTAATATTTCCTCGTAGCATGACCCTATAGAGTATAAGATATCACCTGGGGATAGCACATTCTACTTATACATGAAATAAGGCTATTGTCCAATAGACAACAGCTGTTCTTGTTGATTGGTTAGGTATCTTGGACTGACTGAAAGTGTGAGGTATGCCCGTGATGGATGTCATATAAAAACTGAGCGTCGGGGGCATAGTACCTATGCAGTCTATTGTAGAGATCTAGTAACGCCTAGCCTTTTAACCTCCTTCGAGGGAGATGGCTACCCTTTATATAGACAATAGAACCCTATTGTATTCACATATACCTCATATCCCTGACAGAAAGTTACATATGAGGCAATGCGTAATTTACAACAGCTTGAAGGGCTGGAAGATGTGTTCGGGCCTGTCGATAGGTAAACCCTATCCGGAACCCCCTTTCGAGCTATGGATTCGAGTTAGATGTCCGCTAGTATATAGGATTGACTAGGAAACACGATGTTGCGAGAATAATGGGCGTAGGTCTGAATGAATAGATTTGACACATATCAAGTTACGCGTATACGTATAGGTTTAGCTATACAGGTTTACATCAACAGAACTTATAAGTGAAAAGCGAAGACTATCCCTAGTCCATGAAACAACTCTAGTCATACGTAGAATAGCCCGTATATCATCTTGGAATAACTCCGCAAAGAGTATGGGATCGCTAATAGACGTACAAGGAAGAACTCATTTAATCTGCGCTATAATAACTTTCAGGGAGCTTCTGGTTCTTTTCAAAGTTTATCTTTACATCTCGAATTGTGCCTGCCTGGTATCATCTAACCGCATACCCACGAATCTACAGTATGCCAATAGCTCTTAAGTAGACGCAGTCCGAGAGGGCATGCTAGAAAGACCTCAGCTTCATTCAAAGCTCAATATATGGGATGAGAAACGGACTGTGATAGGGGCTTAATCGGCTTCCCTTATTCGCGGGTACCTGGGGACAATCCAAGTAGCTAGGCCGAGTAGGTCAAAACAGCTCAAAACATCATGACAGAGCGACAATCACCAGAAAATTGAGAAATGGTGCTTGGGCTCTCTGAAGAGAGTTATGCCAGCAAGCAAGCTAATACGACCTGCTCAGATGCCGGATTTAACATCTATTCCCATACCCCACGGACTATACTTGGGCCTAATTGGACCAAGAGGTACGTGCATCCCGAGCCGGTTCGGAACCGTAACTTAACTCTACCTCTATCAACACACTACCATATTTGGATAAAGTAGCCGAATTAATATCATGCCAAGGTTTCACTAAACGTAGAAGTGTGCAGTAGGTACCCGCCCGCTCTTACCACATTCGACCGCATCCGGGTCCGGTGCGGTCACGGGAAAGACCCCGATCCGGTGAGGATGTAAAAGGTACATCGTACGGGGGTGTCCGGACCGGATAATGCCCCGCAAGAAAGTCAGCCTACGGGTAGTTACTTGAGTCCTACATATGCAGGACTTTTATACATCGGTCAATCAATCAATATCGGTAACCATACAAAAGGCATATGAAATAGTCCTAAGTGTATTGGTTGAGCTGGTAGAGTTCCCCCCCAGTCTTTATCTTCTTCCCCCCGTAATCAAATTTTTACAACCAACATGCGTTAACCTGCCTTCTATCCTGCATATCAACGCAATAGCCACCACCGCACGATCCGCCTTATTGATCCCGTCACATATCTGATCGTAAGCCCATCACAATTATCAATCACATCACACCAATTTCAGCCTTCTCCCTCTTTCCCCTTTCCCCTTTCCCACCCCCTACACTAATCGAGTCCAGCATAGTCATTCAGGTCTCTCTCGCGCCGCCACACGCGTCGCACTAACTGTCGTGCATGAAGAAAACATAAAATAAAGAAGCGGGAAGGACCCGAAGGTCCCACGTTGTCGAAACCTGTTTTGTCCGCATGAACTTCATCCGTCATAGTATGATATCACCTCCCTACCTATATAAGCTCGTCCACATACGTAACTAGAAAGAAAAAGAAGGGTCGCACAAAGGTAAGCGGCTAACTTAGACACGTCCAAGTGCCAAGAAATGCCCCCGGCGACGTCAGGTCCAGACCTCTCTCTACTCAGCTCTCCGCCGGGTTCCTGCAATGAACGACATATAGCAAAGCATAATGCCGCCTTACCTGCCCTGCCCTGACCTATCCTTGCCTTGCCTTGCCTTGCCTTGCCTTACGTGGGCACGTCCGCATTTTATTTAAATTTTTACTTCCATACATCAAGCATGGACACGTCCATATATAAATCTAATACATATGCAACTCGCATATATCTCTAACAGTATTGGACACAAATACACATGCATACATCGCCATACATTCATCCCAATCCCATACATGCCATGCTATATCCCCCTATGAAATACCTACCTCCTGGCAGGGACTTGATATATTGCATAGCTAGGTACCGTGTAGATAATCTACGAAATTTACGAGAAATGAAAATAAAATAAATTGAAATCACGAAGAAGCGGCGCGCGAACAAACAACCCCCCCCGAAAATGGATATAAGCCGCGAGCCGATTCTAGGTAAGCAACGAATGGTCGGGCGGGGGAGATAAGTACCTAGGTAGGTAGGTACTAGAGAGGAAGAAACGTCACCACCACCAAACACCACCCCTCCCCCCTTTGTCGAGAATACCTACCTACCTACGCTTACATAGTACCTTCACCTACCTCATACATACCCTCCATCCATCCCTACCTAGGTACCTAACCATACGGCTGAATCCAGAACCAGACAGCTACCTGGGTACCTAGATCGAAGAAGACCGCGAAAAAAAAGAAGAACCCCGGCCACGTGCGAAGCGGCCAGCGACCACTCACAATCCAGTCCAGGTAAAGACCTACGTGTGCATACCATGTACGTCTACGTCAAGCTAGGAAGTCAGGTGGTGATGAATATTTGCTATCGCGCGCGGGCGCGGGCGCGGGGAATATTTTCTATGGTTTTCCTATTTAGGACGCGCGCCCAGGTAGAGGGAGACAGAACAGAACAGAGCCAACATAGTGTACCATACCATACAATACAATACAACGCCTACCTCTACCTACCTGCCTACATAACGTTAGGTAGCTACATAGCAGCCAATTGGAAAGATCTCGAAAACGGCGCCGAGGCATATACCCTCGATTCGAACGAAGTTTCCCTGACCGGGCAAATTCCGCCCTGGTATGGGGTTCCATACGAAGTAATAGAAGTAAAAGCACACTCCAAGTATACTTCTTCTAGCTCTGTTCTGCTCGCTCTGCTCTAGCATAGGTAAGAAAGAAAGAATTGTCTCTCGTACGTACGTACCAAGGTACCTAAGACACGGCGCCAACAACCACTTCTGTCATACAGTCGTACGTTGCCCCGCGGAAAAAAAGAGGCGCGCCTATCTACCTGTCTACCTACCTCTACTTAACCTTCGATAGGTACTAAGTCAGCTACGTAATTTCCTCCCGAGGCGGATGTTATACTAGTGTGTGTGCATGTGTCTGTGTGTCTGTGTGTATTATATTGTATGTATTGTGCATGTGCCCCCTATCGTGATTCGCGCAGGTATTCAGCTCCTACCGAGATAAGCTCGTGGAGTCCCATGTGGGAAAACCCCTGTCCGCTCGCTCGCTAACTCGGCAAACCCAGTCATCGTCCTTCAAAACTCAATCTGACTTGTCTGACCGCCGTTCCACTGGCGTCAAATATCGTTTCTTATTAACCTTTCCGGCCAGTTCCCCGTACGCCATCCACGCACGCATATCGTGATGACAGTAGCTCAACATCGCCCCGGCAGAGTAGGTACATTATTGTGATATATTGTTAAGCATGTTAGCGAAGCTGACGGGGACACGAAGGGCGGGATGGCGTCAATATCTACTCAAGGCACACCTATCCGATCATCCACCTAGTGCCCCCCGTGACAAATACCACCGTAACGAGGCTCAGCAAGCAGTGTACTAACTAATTGCCCTTGTAATTGGAATCGTGAAGATCGCCGCTAACGGATGTTCAAAGGAAATCTGGCACCAGCAAGGAGTCCAAGTCATACTCTTGGTTAAGATTTAGCGTCCGACGGGAAGCCATCGGGCTATCTGAAGCCACGCTGAGGGGCTGAGTTGATGGAATTTGAGATATTACTTCTTGATGAGCTTATATTTGCCCCCCACAATTTCAAGCTCGCCGTCAGCTATCTTTTCCCCGAGGAATTCTTGCAGTTCCTCGTTGCTCCACGGGAAACCGTCCGCGATCAGCATCTTCATCATCATGGAGATCTGTCCGAGAGGCATTGCGGGGCTGGAGTTCGTCAGCATGCCCACGATGAATTGCCAGTATACTTGACGCTTTTCCTTCTCCTTCTCGCTCATTCCGGACTTGGCTTTGCGAGGCGTGGTTGGTCCTACATCAACGCCACTGGGGTTTGAAGCATGTGCCGCTTGAAGTGACGAAGGCTGCTCGGCATCTGAAAGCCGTTCGATAACAGCGTAAGTGTTGTCAGGGAGCCTACGAAGTACTTGCTTTTTCTCCCAAAATTCAAGGGCTGCTGTGAGAAGATCTTCATCCATCTCTAGCTTCATCCATAGGTCGTCAAACGCCCAACTAGACGAATTCTCTTCGCTAAAGGCGTTGATGACGGCTGCTTCGTAAGTACGAACTTTCTCCGATATTGTCCGGTCTTCGAGCTCCAGCTCCACTGTCGCCTGACCCAGATGATTAAGCCACTTAATCTTACGCGATGGTTTTAGACGTTCAAAAATAGTCTCGTACGTCTTCTGCATTTCCGCCACGCTAGAAGGCAGCACAAAGCGTTCTTCTCCTACTTCAGGCCAATAAAGTCGCGATAGGATTCGTGCATGGATCGTCCAGTCTTGAGCCACTTTATCTGGATGGTAAACTGCCCCACGATGGATGGCACCGTCAAGACGCGCTGAGTCTTGAATATCCTTGATCATCACGTCGCAAGCTTGCAGCGATGACTCTCCAAAGCGTTTCTTTAGTAAGTCAAGCACGCCAACCTCTTGCTTGAACCCCGTTCGTTCAGATAGTAACCGTTCACCTATTATGCTCTGAAATTCTTTGATAAACACTTCCGGAGAGCCAAGGGCACCGATAAGCGTACCGATGACATCCTCGGATTTCTGTCTTCTGTAATTGGAGCCCGCATCAACTGGAGCAGGGGTCCACTCTAAATCTTCGAAGTCCTCTGTTCGGCGTTCAGATTGATATCGATTAGAATCTTGCAATAACAATTCCACAAGTTCGACAAGTTTAGTATTGCGAGCCTCGGAATTGACCTCTTCGGGACTGCCTAGCAAACCGGTAACGACGATGCGAACCGCATCTTCTCGGGTACATAGATATAGCTGCAGGGAGTAGGCTACGCGGTCTAGTAGCACTCTTGAGTGATCTAATTTGTGAAATGTCCGGATCATGGCGATATACGTTCGAAGTATATCTAACGTCGAACGTCCCGCGTGTAGTAGGCGTTTTTGTAAGGTAGATGAGAATGCATTTGCGAGTTGTAATCTCCGTTGAGGCGTCGTAATTGCATAGCGGAGATCATCGATGGCACCTTCGCTATCTGGCCAGCTAACAACGATGTCGAAGAGCTCGTCAATTCGAAGCGCAGCAAGCCTCCCGATAGCAATCTCTTTCCATTTCTCTACATCCGACCAGCTGATTTGTATACCGCTACCGAGCCGGCTAGTAACTTCCACAGCTAATCTCGAGTATTGATTCTCAACCCAGTCCAGTAGCTCTTTAATACACTTGGGTTGCATTCTAATGCCGGTTGGGAGTCGTGCTCCCATCTGCAAGTCGTCATTGGACCCCCACACGCCCGCAAAGGTCTCTCGAATATAAGCAATCATCATCCCGTCGAGGAGTTCCGCAAAAAGAATTTGAAACTTTTCGCCGGCAAACCCAACGTTGCGTAAAGACTCTACTAGCTGGTGCAATTCCTTTCGTGCTGCGCTTACATTATCGGGATCTATGCTCTCCTTTCCCCGGCCGGGAGCTTGAGATACTGCTCCCACGCCAAGCAGCGTTTTCATCAGCTGGCCAAGGGTCGATCTTAGAGCATTTATCATGGCATTGGACATGGAGTTCGCCACAATGGCATGTAGATCGCGCTGGAATTTCAGGAGAGCAAGCTCTGCAGGCTCTTCGTCCATAGCCCGAAGAATCAGTGATAGCCCGTATAGATACTGCCTATTCGCAGCTTCCAAAGTCCGTATACTACCTAGTAGGACTTGCGTCCGGTCCGAGTAGCCATCGCAGACAGACAGGAGCGGTAAGACATGGGTCACAAAATGCAGCCGGACCTGCTGCGTGTGCCAGGCGAGTATATCGCCGGTGCGACTAGCCAGTGGAAGACGTACAGCCGGGATTAAGGCATCACGGAGCGCGTCCCGGAACTCTGCATCGTCGGCATCCTGCGAGCTCGGTAGAGCCCCGAACGAGTCCTCCGCGGTGACGGAGGGCGGGAGCGCGATGCGGGACGTGACCACGTGCCACGACCGGTCAAAGCGGGTCTGCTGCTGGGCGTGGGACTGCTCCTCTGGCGACGTCAGCAAGAATTGGGAATCTGTGGCTTTCTGGGGCGTCTGGTTTAAAGGGCCCCCAAAAGTCTGGCTTTGATTCTGACTCTGACTCTGACTGTGGCTCTGACCAGGGAACCGCAGCGAGGAGGTAGAATACGGCGTAGGCTGAGACGCATTAGTCTGGAAGACAGATTGGATGGCGTGTCTCCTTCGCGCGTTCCACCTGGTATCGGTATCCGCAGTCATCTCTCGTTGCTATTGTCGGCAGTGGCAGCTTTAGATGAGAACTTAGCTGATAACATCGATGTACGATGTACCATGGCCCCTCCCCCCTTGGCCCTTGGCAGATAGGTACTACCTACAACAACCGCCACACGACGAAAAAAAATCAAATCAGTAACGATTAAAAAAAAACCTTGGTATGGAGCTTGTAAGAATTATTTTTAGCGAGTTGAAAACGGTCCCTCCTAGTCGTCGCGTCGTTTAAGGCAGTTAGCTACCTAGTTTCGTATGGAGTAGGTAATTTCGAGTTAAGGGCTGACAAGGTTCATGTGAGGTATGTTGTATGTGTATGCGTGTAGCTTACCTACCTCTACCTACCTAGGCAGAATCGATTTGTTTTGGAATCTCGGGGCGGTTTAGGTAGGCGGTGAAATGGCATTGCTACTGCCCGCGGCTAACAGCGTCCCGTCATTAGGTGAGCGCGATCATCACTCATGGTCCGTGCGCGATGTGCAAAGTACCTCTATCAGGTACCTGTTACACTCAGGGCTTATGTGTACAATACCTTGCCCCACCGGGGCCTGTACAGTGCAGGTGGTGCCTTACCTGTTATCAGCTTGTACTACAGAATGCCTCGCGCGGCTGAAGCGTTTATCGCAACATCCTCTCGCACTAGTAATCCGGCCCGCACCCCAACCGTGCACCTAGTACCTATTAGCTTAGTTTAGGTACCTCTTTTTAACCCTAAGACGTCTTAGGTAGCGTTAGGCACAATACCTACTGTAATTTCCTTCGCCGATACGGATGCTGCATTGGTATACATTCATGTATAATGTGCCAGGTATATATGCAGGACATTTAGCGAGGGTATCAAGCGTATGTAATACTTAGCGTAGTGCATATATACAAATATACATAATGTACCTTAACTTGGGTAAGTATGTCAAGGTATGCGAAGTATGCGAAGCTCGTCTAACCAGGATGTAAATAACATTACCTAGGTAAGTAAGATACGCTAGCGATAAGGCCTTACGATCGATGTTCCAATTTCGCTCTCGTTACTCTTAATCTGAGAACTTAAAAATACCTACCTAAAGAGATTAGAAATACTTTTCTTGCCCATGTACGTTCTCTATCTCCAAGGTTTATTTATCATTTATGACACCATCTAAACCGTACATCGGAAATAATGTTAATTACGTAGGTACTACCTAGTTACACTATAACATATAAGGGTATTATTAGGGTATTTTATGCATATCGGGACTGCGGAGAATTCTTGGGAGTAATTAAACTCTCCCAGAATATTTGCATACACAACGCTGGGTTGGAAGAGGGGAAAAGCATTAAACTTGCCCTCCCCCCTGTCCTCCCCCCGCCTCCCCTCTTCTCCAACTACATACAGACATACATACTTACCTCTTACACAGTATGGTGTTAGGTATGGTGGGCGAAGAAGAGACCATTTTGGTTGACTGCGGCGTCGACGAATAGCGAGCCCGTCCTACCCTGCAATGCAAGTCGCAATGTGGGCGAGAAACGTGCTGCGGGGGCACACGAATAGAAACCACGCATCAAGTCGGCCGGTCAGCATGGCCACGCACTGCTTCTAGCGTTGCTACGGCGCCTCAAAGGTACTCTCAAGTATCTTTCCCCTGCTACGTACGTCGTATCCCCCCTCCCCCTCCTTTGCCCTCCCCCCTCTTACCATTTCTCTCCCACCCGCAACATGAAACGAGGTACGACGACGCAGATCTGTCAGACGCAAGCCCATACTATGTACGGCCTTACAGCGTAAAAAGCTAGGCATAGGGACGGCTGAGACGAGTCAGATGGTTTAGGGCTGACATAGGTGGTTGCGCAGAAGCTAATCTGTCCCGTCTTTAAAAATACCTGACTATATCATGATGAACTAAAAGTCGGACTTCGTTCAGTGATACCACCAATTTTGAGTAAACAAGACGCTTGGTGCGATTGGTGGCTCGTATGGACGTAGTACCTCATAGTACCTCGCCATACGAAGCCCTCTCTTTTATTTGTCGCCGCATATTTGCATGTGCGTGAATTATCCCTTTCCCGTTTGGGGATCGTTTGATATATCGTACCAAGTTTTACATTTACAACCAGGTCTAAATCATGAAGTTCGTCAGTTCATGGCAGCTGCCCGAGTTCTGGACTGGGCGCTCCGAACACTTGATCAGCAGCTGCTCAACTTCTTTTAGGAGACGCATATGCATAGTAAGCGCAGAAGACGCAGGAGAATGTTCTTTCGGTTACATTCGAAGTCAAGCTAGCACTCGCCTCCCACGTTCAGCCTGCAGCTTTCACACGTGTAGGTCAGGCGGTTTGGGGCACGTTGGACCGGGGCTGTCTGCGAGCTCTCAAATTCGACTAGACCTTGCAGTGTAGTAATCACCACCCATCTAGAACTGTTTCATGAGCTGCACTGCAACCAAAGCAGCTCTTGGTGGTGTGGTTCGCAAGACCGCGTGGTCGGTCTCCAGCGGCCACTCCGTAAATCCGGTACTATACACTTTTTAAGTTAGTGAGTATCGGCTGCGTTTTCCGCCGTACGTCCCGAAGAAGCCGACCATATTGTGTATTGTACAATGCAAGACCTACCTAATGTCTCTGCCGTTAAAGCGATGCGGCGCGGAACCGTGTTAGTGCGCAATCAGCGTACGGGTTAGTCGCAAGTTAAGGACGATCGAACAATAATTCCAAAAATGGCCTTGAAATTAGCTCGCAAGACTAACCCTTTAACCAGCCGAATCGGCGAGACACTACGTGCTGTAGGTATACGGCGCAGCAAGAGATGTTATGGTCTACCATAGTACAACTCATGACATAACAAGTGGGATCGACGCTTGCTTGAGATTGCTCGATGTATCGGTAACATCGTCTTGCCGTCGATTGCAGCGCTCGCAGTTCTAGGTTAATAAGTTCCTGGTCAAGTTCCTATTCTTGGCAGGTGTAATGAAAATAGCTTCGGTCGGTCCCGAAGCATTATGCTAACAACTTTGTAAATGTTCCTTGCAGCTGAGGAACTATACTATGTCAAGGCAATCTGAAATGTCCATGTAATATCGCAGAGTTGTAAATTAAAAACACGCTTTACCATCTGTACGTTTTGTTGGTCTGTGAGCGCGATTTCTCCGTGGGGTGGGCGAGCAATGCGAATACCCGTCGACGGCTACTAGGCATTGACGCAATCTGTACCTAATCTATCCATCGTCTTGCGATAAGCATAACCTACCTGGATCGATAGGGGTATGCACAGGCAACATCCGTTGAGGCTCGTAAGTCCATCATACGGAGATAATTGCGTACCCCACGGCCCCCAACGCTTTCGTACAACCGCCCGCGGTCTGTGGTGTTGCGGAGTGTCCGATGTTGATGTTGTGAGATGGTGACACGGCTTGTCAAACCGGTCGGTTGGTGACCACCTACCTCTTTTAACTCTTAGATCTATCTGCCCTTTTATTGTTATACCCGTTTCGAAGCGTAAAGCTGTGCTATTTTGCGCCGTACTCTGGGGTCAGCTGGAACGCTTGCCTCTAGGTAATGATTGATAATCTCACAAATTCTCGGCGGAGTTGGGAACAAACAATTATAGCGAGCCGAGGTTCGCACCCTCCCAACATCCGCTGGCGTTATGGTTGTACACACTTAAGACCTATACACCGAGCAAGAGTGATATAGGTGCGGGTAGTTTTCCTAAACTGGTGGCTATCGGAATTTAGGAAAATACCTTTTTTTCAATCAAAAATCCTGACATCATCAATTTGTTGGTCTAGACTTCTCTATGTTCGTTCGTTCGTTGTCGCTTATCCAAGCTTAGCGAAATTGTTGAATTTTATAGTGAGGTACCTTAGGTTAGGTACGTATTTTGGTCGGCTCGACCTTGTCTCGCACGCCGCTTACCGAATTAGGCGCTTGACCAGCCGATTCCATGTCCACTTAATCACCGCGCAGTCCAATGAAATCAAGCTCATTGGCACGGACATAGATCCTACCTAGGTAGGTATGCTATGCTATTGACGTGCTTAATAGCAAGGTCCGTCTAGGGTTCCGGCGCGGAGTCCCGACAACCTATACTTCGGCGTTGAATCATGGGTTTGTATCGTACGCTTTCGACGGCGCAGCGTCGGGTGGAGATAAGTACTAATAAATACTAATGCCGAAGTGTCGGTTAAAAATCAAACTTTCGTGATGTTTGGACTGGATGTCATACATCGGGATTTGATTGTGGATAATAGGTCGATTGATCATAATGAATTTGTTGTTTATGGCAGAAAAGAGTGCATACAAAAGGGCAAGGTATGTACCTAAAGCAGGTCCGGCTGACCAGTCCGATCCACAAATGCATGTAATATGACTGGTCAAAATGACTACTTTTGTGGATCTTAACTGTGCTGTGCCGGTCTCTTATCAATTAACTGTAGCTAACTCGGCAATATCTTACCCAATCCAACCTTTTGGGAGGACAACGAGTTAAAGGTCGTTAGATTATTACATAGTATATTACATAGTAGTTTCTAGAGATCAAACCATTTTGTTAGACTATTTCGTATACATTATGGATACCGACGAAGCGAGTTATTAGACCTCGTGACGTTACCTAAATGACAAATGCAAACATCTTGTCCGGCCTTCCGATCTTTTGAATAACTATCGGCTGATGTAATCCAAATGATTTTGAGATAGGCTATAACTTTTGGGTTGGGAAATTTATATAGTGTGGGGAGATAAGCTAGGTACCTAGGTAACTACGTAGTATAGAAGGTAATGTAAGGTACGCATCCTTGGACCTTCCCGTCTTGCGTACCTAATGTATTGTACGTAAACTCACCTCAGGTACTAAACCTAACCGGTATGCCCTGTCTTATTTAGTGCAAGGCCAGGGTTTTATTTATTTATACATACAAAATCATCCACGATGGATTCAAGCTTGAACTTAAACCAGGTCGATCCACATGGCATTTCCTTCACGGAAGGAGCCTTTAGGTTTAGACACTAAGCCCTGCAGGTCGACGTTGTGTACAGAGGTACCCGATGATGCAACCCGTCTCCACTTGATTTGTTAATGGTCGCCGTCCTAAGAAATTTCATGGATCGCAAAAAATGCGTGGACATGTACTTTTTTTTACAAGTTCATCGCAAAAAGAGAGAGGAGACAAAAACAAAAAGGTACCTCTCTCTCTATCTACCCCAGGATCTTCAGAAAACAAGACCAAGACAGATCAGCTTCTACGATCTACTACCCAATTATATCAACCCAAGGCACCATCCATACAATCGGCGCACATGGTCTCTTTGAAAACGTCGCAACGATCGTCTCCTCAATCAATCTGAAGACCAATGCCGTAGCTCGCAGCCTGCTTCTATTTCTGGCAGCATTGCACACAGGCAATTCAGGGCACATGGCTTTTTTTTCTCCTCTCCTCATGCAACCTCTGGATCCCCGGTCCAAGGGCTGTGCTCGCGTCGCTTTTCCTTTTCTCCAACATACTATGTAGTCTCTCCAGATTCCAACAGACGGTCGGGTAGCACTGTATCCGAGGTTCCTGCAACCTTACCTCATATTGTTTTATATAGGTACATACTAGTAGCTATAGGTGCCTTATCGAACGTAAGCAGAGCAACGCTCTGCTTACTTGACGATATCATCTACCGGACCATACCATCTTGACGTAAAGTACCTACCTAGGTAGCTAGCTGTTAGTTATGTAATTTGGTATAGGACGCGGCATTACGATTCGGCCGATCTCACCTCCCGTTCAGAAAAGCCCATGCGTCAAAGATCTGGGGCCCCTTGTTTGGTGTATCTGACGCTGCAGAACGAAGCTACATTATTTTGTATCACACACGTTCAACTACGTATAGTCTACCTGGTAACCCAACCACCGCCGCTCATAGTGCGTTACGCCACACGCCAGGAAACCTCTCCGCTCGCTATTTTCGAACTGCCCGATCTACTAGGTTATTCGTCAACTATACGAAACGCCATATACGTACGGTGGCGTCAGTTAATTGGCGGAGGGTTGCCCACCGAGTGAGTTCTGCTTCGCTATGCTTTGTATTGTCTTGCTTCATGAAACGGGCGGCGCGATAAGAGCGATATTGTAGGTACGAATACCGAGAGGGGAGACAGACCCTTGATGAACATACGCAACGAATTGCATACTAACAACCTTGGGACCCAGCTGGACCCCTCACGTGGTAAGAACTTGTTTCGGCCGAATAGTGTCAGAGCAGAGCAGCAAGAAAGCGGATATTTTTCTTTTTCTTCTGAGAAGAAATGGAAGGGCGGAGAGTTCCACTGTTTCATTGCATACGGTCTTGGTTTTGGTAACGGGCGTTCTTCGTTACGACATAGCGAATTTCTAGATGAATGCAATAATAACCTATAAACTGGGTCTAATAGCACGCCAGCACGCGTAGGATACGGTGGGTACAGCTGGTATGGTACGATGGAAACTCTACTACTATAAGCAGGCACTTCCATACGGAATAGGTTATCGATCAAGGTAAAGTATCTCCCAATATGGAAGCTGGTTACGGACTTGTACTTTGTCATGTGTATTATGCCCTTAACTTTTCATGTACTGTAACACCATCCCCTGCTCGCCACCTGGCTACAGGCCTTGCAGCTTTTTGCATCTCTTGCTAGCTATACCTAACCTATACTGGCTATGGTAGGTAGTCCTGCAGCTGTAATCTTCCCCTGGTAAGGGGTTTATCCCCATACCTCCATTGTCTTCCCCAGCAACTCGGGCTTTGAGATCATTTATGAATCTTCCCCACGGAGTCTCTGTCAGGGTATGATGGCATAGCACAAAGCAAGCGGAAATCGCTTCTTTCCCTAACCTTAACCCAATCAGTGGCGATAGCCTCTCGGTCCCGATCACGTTTGCCAGCTAGTCTAGCTCTAGCAGGTAAGTAACAAGAACACAATGCCGGGACGCTGAGACGAAATTCGCCAACACTATATCACTAGAATGTCACAAGCCCAAGAAATTGCAAATAGTACTACTCAGAGAAAGAGTATTCCAATTCTGTTAATGTCCAAAATATACAAGGTCAAATGATCATAGATCGAAGCTCGAACTAAGTAAGACAAGATATCGAAAAGTAAAAGGGGGTATATGCTTAATCTTCCGCGCCATATCTCCAGAGCTCGTAAATCCCCTCAAAATCATAATCCCATAGACTCCATGTAAAGATATGTCCGATTGTTTTGCATGCCAGTCGAGCCGTCGTCTAAACCCTATCCCGCTCCAGATGATTCTCATAGCTTCCATGTTTGCAGCTTCGGAATCTTCAACAATCGCCCGTCCCTCATTTGAATCATACAAAAAGCAGTCTGATTTTTTTTTCTTTTTTCTTTTTTCTTTTTTTTCGATTCTTAGTTGTTTCGCCTTTGCTTGCACTTGTCGTGTAGTAAATGTCCATTGCGAGCCTTTAACATCGATTAGCTCATGAGTTTGAATTTACGAAATATGGGTCAAAACTTACAGTAGTCCTGGTGAACTCAGCACCGCAGTTGGGGCATGTTGCCTTAGCAGCTTGTCCCGACTTCTCACGCTGGTGTCTCAGGAGGTTGCTAAAGGTGGAAAACTGTCTTCCGTTGCAGCCGTGTTCCCAGCATTGCGGTTTGGGCCGGCTCTGTACAACACGGACGTGGCCGGATTCCTGCCCGGTAGCACTACCAGAAGAAAGAACTTGAGGAGGTTGGACAGGATACATCATTGCAGGTTCAGGCATCGGGGGTGACGGGCGGCTGTAACAATTATGAGCAATGGTATTTCATATATATGCCTAATATCGTACGAACCTGTAGTGCGAAGGTAGGCCATGCGCGGATGGAGGTGGCGGGGGGTAGCCCGGAGAATAGTTCAAACCCAAGTAATCGGCGGGTGGCCTGTTAAAGCTATTATTAGCACGATAAAAATCGCATCGTTCTCTGAAGCAACTTACAATGAAGAGAAGTGAGATGCAAACATCGGCGAGCCGTGGTCAGGTAGAGGCGATGTTGAGTAAGATGGCATATATGATCCTGCCATAGTCGTCGCAGGCTCTGCAAGAAGAGATATTTGCGATGGCGCTGTCGAGTACACGGGCACGGGCGATGCAGAAGAAAACTCATGCATTGACAACGTAGGAGACTGAGAAGCGGAGGAGTATGTGCTCATGGCGCGGCGTGCTCGAACTGTTGTCTTAGAATCCCGTCTAGCTTGATCTCGCTGCCTCTTGAGTTCTCGCTGCTCTGGCGTAAATGTGAACCGTGGAGGGCTGGAAGTTAAAGATCGGGAGGCACTCGGGGGAGTCATGCTAGCATCTGAACCGTGGCCGACAGAACTTAGATCGTGCCCGAGTAGATCATGACCCGACTCAAGACCAGGCCATGTGTAAGTGGAGCGGGGAATTCCCATCTCCAATCTGGGATCGAAAGCTACTGCTACAGTACTGTTTATTGTGAGCGCCAGTTTTGTAATGATCGGTTCTTAATAGACTAACCTCATTGTGGATGTTACTGAAGGTGGTGGTAAAGAAGATGTAGAAGGGAAAGACTCCTGGACTGGTTCAACCTTTAATGAAGGTATGTCTTGAGATTGAAATTGTCTCTCGTTCCACTCAGCATCCAAAGCAGCCCGGGAGGGTAAAGCCGGATAAGATGCGTGGTTTGGTATTGATGGCGCAGAGCAATGAGGGCCACTTGTGTAAGACGCTTGGGGTCCTCGCGAAGATACTGGTCGGCTATGATACGAATCGACAAGATTCAAGTTGCGAAACCCTGCTGTTGTTGAGACTGTACTGCTAGCTCTTGACCTAGGTGGGTGTGAGTAAGAATCTTCGGAATCCCGGTTTATTCGAGGGTAATGATCCATTATCGAAGATAGCAAAAGAAAACACACGTACAATATCACTACGTCTGTAGTCGAGCTGAGCTGGTGTATATAACTAAGTTGTTGACGGCTGAAGTCGAGATGGGGAGGCGATTCTTATGACTTATAGGAACGACAAAGGCCAAGCTGTTTCGTAAAGACGGATATGAGAATATGTAGTTCGTGTAGGAAGACTTTAAACGGCTTGGTTTGGGTAAGCGTTTTGTATCTGAGAATCTCAGCCTCAGTAGTCGCGATGGCAGGACAGCAGGAACATCAAGTGCTTATAAATTTATCGAAGACAGTACCCTGGTGGAGCACCTCTGGCTTCGACCTTACGTATTGTATGGTGCTGCGTGGGAGAAGATGGGGACCTTGTCAACACAGATGTGTACAGCAGAGTACATCTCGCAGTCTACGCCGTGAAGCTAGTACCTAGTGTAGCTAGGTACATGGATGGTCTAGTCAAAAAGGCGGGTACGACACAAATACTATGTAGGGCAGGGTGAAGAAGAAGTGGGTGTGGGGTGCGACGAGGAAGACCCTGCTACACATACATGGGCAGAAGTACCTCGCCTGTCCTGGTGGATCACTTCTTCACCACCTGGTCTGTCCTGGATCGACCGGGGCTGATACGTACATATGTAGGCACACACATAGTACATAAACGGGAGACGGGGAGAGGACCGGGGTGATGAGAGAAGAGCGGGGGTCAGAAGAGAGGATAGAATTGAGGAGACATATGATAACAGGCTGGGCAGGCTGAGTAGGGGTATGGCACTAGCATACCCCAGCGATTTGCTTGCTTGATCAAAGCTCGGTTCGACAAGACAGCAATTGATCCCAGGCACACGCATACTGCCACCTTGACAGGACCGTGACGGCTGCTATGATGACAGGGGAAACGTATATGTGGTTGCTTGGTTCCTGGCATCTATAACGTAAGTAACGCACATAGAATGGGGGGTTAGGGTCAGCGATAAGGCGGCGTGCGCGGGTTGGGAGAGTTGCATCAAAAGACATATCATCGTAGAGCTAGCTTCGAGAGTCCGAGATGGAGATAGACTCACAACCAGAGGGGTGTATCTAAGCCGAGCGCGGCAAGGCCTAGCACGGGGTAGAGTGGCTTTGGCGTTTCTTCGCGGAGAACATAAGCAAGCAGGCAGTGCCAACTCTGCGACTTGTTCTTGGTTGACCTGCCTCATCCATACCCATAAAACCCCCCATCTAACCCAACTCGCTCAGGCTACCGTGTGGTCCGTACTGTATCGCGCGTGTTTCTACGGCACGGCAAGCCTGTAAGCGTACGGCTGCAAGGGTCTTCTGGCGCAAGAAGCGATGTACGTAGTTAGGGAAAAGCTACGAGAACGTGTTATGAACCATTGATCAGTCGGCAATTAGGAAATTACCATTGTCCGACTGTCAAGGGTTAGAGTGTGATCGTAGGGAAAGATATATCAAAGAAAAGACCATGTTAAAGCAACCAGGAACGTGGCATCTAAACCGAGGTATCCACGAGATTCTCGACTCCAGTCCCGCCGTTCGAGGCCGTACGGCTCCGGGACCGATGTCAATGGACCCTTTTTCTGTTCTATTCGCAGCGGAGAAGGATGCTCATCCCATAGATTTGCTAGACCCTCGGCCGCGAGATGCGGCCGACACGCATGGCGGGGCATGGGTAAAGCATGGCAACGGAGTCTTAAAGCTACCAGGCTGCCAGGCTGCCAGGGCGCAAATCTTCAGTGGATCATAGATTCGCAATACATTAACTGTTTAGTGTTAGTCGTTGTATTATACATATTAGTATGTATATAGTAGCACGTATAGTAGTAGTATGTATAGGTAGTAGTACGTGCAAGTACGATAGTATGTACCTAAAGGAATTGCGAAAATGAAACGACATGCATGGGAAGCCTGACTGTGTTACAGTTTTGGAGGTGAAAAGAAGGACAAAAGAAATGTTCGATAAGAAGCAGGTGAGAGAGAACAATGGGTTTAGTCGTCTAAGGCCAAAAGTTGCGAAGAGCCAATTTCCTTCTTCTAATCGCACGAGGTATACTTAGGATTCTTATCCCTGCAAGCGCAGTCTTAAGTATTTGTGTACCTACTAGGCAGGTATCGACCTTTCCTTATTAGTGGAGTGACGCAGCGGCAAAAATGCACACGAACCCTCCTTAGGCAATATGGTACTTCTGAACCTACGCTATGTTCAGTTCCATGCTACCAAAATAGCTGTGCGAAGTACATATGTACCTATTAGATCGTGCGTTAGGTAAGCAGGGGGTGGGAGGAACAAGCGCTCGCGTCTAATTAGTCGCTTACCTTAGCTGCTTTACTATACACACATCAAAAACCTTGTGGTGTGATAATAATAAAATGTCCCAATCCATGTAAGTAAGTAGTAAGAGTGGGTCTGTTTGGGACTTCTTCATCATAGTGCACCCATAGCAAGGTACCAAATTATTAGTAGTATGTGGCGCGCCGAGTCCACGTAGATGTACTTTTCGTACCGAAACAATGTCTATTACTATTATTATTCTGCATTAGACTCAAGGCCTAGGAATAGACCCATATTGTTATTTTATATTTTATTTCCGCAAATGCCAAATCCAGGCAGCGATTTAAGAAAATGCTAGTTAATACCATAGGACTGGTTGAGGTAGACATGTATGAGGTAAAATAGTAGGTAGAATTATTATTTACTTGTAACGGGAATTTGCATCGGACGATTGTAGAAACCATTGTGGTACCTACAATTAGCATCTCGTCATTTTGCGACTAGCGTCGAGTAAGAAGTTTAGTTATCAGAGATCAAATCATATCGAAATATTTTTACCCTTACCTTAGGTATCTACCTAGGTATCTACCTCCTATTAGATTACTCGAACCAATATCTAACAATGTAAGGATCTAAACTTCTGTACCCCGAACGACATGCATGCGTACAATGCAAGTTAGAAACAAGTTAGAAAGAGCATAACTAGCATATACCATACTATATACCATACTATTGTACCTAATCTTTATCCAACTACCATATTAGGCCTTAAAACACCCTTAAAGCCACGGCGAGGACGTACCGGGTCAACAAAAGCATGCCCCGTATATTTGGTGCGAGACTATCGTCTGTGCCTCTCAATCTACTAGGAGAACTTATAAAAAAAGAAATCAATTAAAAAATTTCATCGCGCTAACAAGGTATTCTTGGTAAGGTTAATACAGTTAAAACAGCTGACAGTCTAAAAGTACGCCTCGTTCAATTGTTTCAATGTTACCTTGGTTCTCCTGCATCTAGCTACTTTCCATCCGAAACACGCTTCTTCAAGCCTGGCAGTGGCTAATACCTTATCCGAAGCCCACTTCGAACAACCCAGCTTCGCGCTGTCGACATCACTTGTCTTCTATTTTCGGACTCATATGTGGGTAGCCTACGACCCTCATCGCTCAACACAGAAGACGCCACCTTAAAAAAAAAACCCACTCGGCTAGTAGACGGGCTTTGTGTAGTTCCAAGAAGCCATCTTCGTCTCCAGAATCTTTTGATTTGCCGACTTAGAAAGATCGCCGACTAATCGTGTTGCAGGCCACTATATTTATTATTAGTCATTAGTCATCTATGGGAGAATATCAAATAGATGAAAGGAGGCTATTCATTCATGCATGATCGTTATAACCTCGGCGCTCACAGGCAACCATAGTATGAATTCAATTGCCACCACTTGGGCTATCATTAGATATCAGCGCCCTGTACGCCTCGGGTTTTGTGAATCCTTTCACAGCAGCTAGCTCAAAAGCGATAGCATTTGCGATTATGTGTAGGAAGGCCTATAAGGCCACTGCCGTCTCCCCACCACCCCAGTGATCACCGACAGAGCGCTAATGCTTGTGTGGCAGAAAATAAGGAACAGTGAGAACTTTTAGTGTGCAACTGAAGTTGGACCCCTAATGAATGCCATATTTAGCTTTACCAACATGAGCTGCGAATGGAATAATTATCGCACTCGTTCCCACGTCATTTAGTATCTAAATAAGTGCTTCTGATGTTAGAGTCTCTTATCCCCAAGTATCAGCTGAGGCTGAACTCATCATTAGCATCGACACCCCCCCTAGGAGACTTAGAAATGTGGCTATTTCGATCATGAACCGCTTTGATTTCGTACCTAATAGGTATTACCCAAGACTGCGCCTCGGTTATATCAGAAAAGCTCCGGCTGTCTCGCATTGTCCTAGTTGGTAAGACACCAACAACTCGTGTGAGTGTTCCCACCTCGCTCACTGGTTGTTGGTGTTTAGCAATCATGTAGCTTGCCTTTCGGATCCCAAACTGGAAACTGAGCCGAAAAGAATATCGTCCGAATATTCCGTTTTCTAGAATTAAGATTTGTTGGTTGACGAAACCAACAGGAACTCCGAGTCAACAGGGCAGCGCCTAGTGAGTCTAACTTGGGTCGTCGCATTTGACTAGTGGTTAAGTAGGCTATGATACAACGCGAAGATGAGTACCTAACCTATAGGTATGTAGCGCGCCTACATATACTTTAGCATTGGCGTTTATCTTCTTTTCCCCTCTCTTCATCCCTTCTAAGCGGCCCGCTGCCTTGACGGTATGGATCGATCCCCACGGAGGCTGTGACGCTCCCACCTAGATACAACCATCCACGCGCTTATATCAATTATATCATGGGACCAACAGATAATTAGGAATAAGTGTAAACCACTATTCAAAACACCCAAATCTGTCGCTAGCCATCAAACTACATAATTTAGCTTATTACGGTCTAATTATTAAAGATATCGTGGTTGGTGCTTGGGAGTGAAGACGGTTGGTATGTCGTGGCCGTTGGAGCTAAACACCCCATAGTATCCGAATGGTTGGGAAAAGAATGCATACCTTAGGTAGGTACCTAAACTTTTGATGTTCCAGAAGGGTGGCATGGAAAACTGTGACCAGTACTCTGGTGACATTGTTGATTGGAGAAGAATAACTCGAGTGTGACCCCATA